ACGGTCATGACCACAATCCTTCAGGCAGACAACAAATCGTGATATTGCCCGAATGACATTTATTTTATCACATCGAACAGACATCAAAACAGAATATCTTACTTAAATACCTATTCTGTCATGTTCGCTGTCTATTTTGGATGGCTAGAGTTTCTACAAAACCTTAAAAGCAACCTCGAAAATAACATCAGCCGATCAGCACCAGGGTTAGCGAACGACAATTTGTTATGCGCAGTAGTTTCAGTGACGTCATCCATGTGATTTACCATGTAATATCATAGACTTTACAGTCTACTGGAGGGTCTATGGTAATATCGATTTGGCGGGCAATATACCATGTAATATCCATTTTTATTCAATGTCATGTGACCGAGCCTCAGCCAATCACAGCATGCGTAACAGTGAGATGTGATAAATATGTGTCACAATGGTGTGGCCTATATTACGAATACAAATCAAGAAACTGATGAATATCCTCCGTGGTGTGGTGTACTGGTAATGTCAATGAAATTGTTGATTGAGGGTTCGAATTCAGCGAGACCCAGTTTAATTTAGTTAGATTCTACACATGTCATTGGCACAAAAATTAGCATAATTTTTAAAAAAAAATGCAGAAAGTGTAGGTACGTCTTCAGGAATTATGGCACTGGCGTCAACGCTGTTAGCACTGACGACTTTTGACGAACGTAGAGAGAACGCCTAACACAAAACACGTATTCATTGACATAGAAACTGCCACGTCGTGAAATAAAATAAAAATAGTATAATTTTAAAAAATTTCAGAAAGTGTAGGTACGTCTTCACGAATTATGCCACTAGCGTCAACGCTGTTAGCATTGGCGACTTTCGTCGGACGTAGAGAGATCGCCTAACACAAAACACATACCTTCACCACAATGTGTCATACAAAATTCACATGGAATATCATCCACGTGTAACATCACGCAATAACTTCCATAGACACCAGTCCCTGCACAAGTTTATGCACACTAGGATCTACCAATCAGCGGCCTCTATACAGAGTTTGAGTTCAGCCAATGCCGTGCGCCCCGCACATAGACACTATCCAATCAGTGGCCTTCACCCACGTTTATAAGCGGTTTGGTTTAATCTAATATTTCTCATATTTTTACGTTGTCCATATCCTGCTAGCGTCAACTAGATGCAATATACTCGACCTAGAAATTCCCAGTTTGAAGGTATAGTTATGATTAATACAATAACTCACTATCCCAGAATATAGCACCCCAAGACTGCACGTCGTAAAGTATATGTCGGGTATACTAAAATACTTATTGACAGTAACTATGCGGTGAGAGCTGCTCATTGGTTAAGACATATTTTAAACAGTTTCAACTATATTTTACTCAAAGTGTATCAATACACGTGTATTATTGGCGTTGTGGTGCTGCTGCCTTGTTTGTTGGTGCCGAATTTGTTTATGATCTAATTTGCATTGTTGCATATTGCACAGTCTTGAAATATTAGTGGCGTTCACATTAGAGATATCAGCAAGTGCCAAGAGTCAGGACCGAGTCAGCACGTACCGAAACGTGTATGTGAAAGGTGGTGACCGAGTCAGCACGTACTGAAACGTGTATGTGAAAGGTGGTGACCGAGTCAATGCGTGCCGAAACGTGTATGTGAAAGGTGGTGACCGAGTCAATGCGTGCCGAAAAAAAAACTCGATCTTGAGCTCGGTCCCGATAGATGCTCCGACCGAAACCCAGCACGTGCCGAGATTTGCTGCCTGAACGCTCAACACGAACCGAACTCACCCCCCTCCCATACTAGTCACTGATCCATACTCGTATGACATGGCGATGGAGGGAAGTGCAGCTTTATATGGTCGGATTCTGTAGTAATAAATGAAATGAAAGCAAACCGTCGTCGGCGACGCATATTTATGTGCTGCTGCAACCGTTTTTTTTTTCTTGCAATACGACATCGACGTGAAATAATAATTGTTTTTCGAATCTTCTTTGCTGTTCATGTACATGACGACTTGTAATAAATACTAGAACAGAAAATGGATATAATTTCAATAAAGCAATTGTTATTAAAATCATATGCGTATCGTTTTCCTTGTTTGAGTCAAATAACAAATCGACGAATGATGGCGTGATTTCGGCACGAGCCGAGTCGATCCCAAGTGGGTCCCGACTAAGGTGAACGCAACTGCTGTAATCCCTCTGCAAACACAAAAGATTAAACATTTCGGCACATGCAGAGATCCCATAACTAGCAAACTACTTCAATTAATGCACATGTAATAAGTTATAAATATTTATTCCAATATGATTATGACAATAACATAATACTAGTAGTACATATAATTTACCACATTTTCTACAATTTTGACTTCATTTAGATCAGTCCAGTGAAACACAATGCAACTCAGTGAACTTATATATCTATATGTACCCCAACCTCGTTCATTTTTCCGACAGATCACAAATTTTAAATCAAATCATAAATCTTAATCTTATTTCCCGGGAATGCTTCGGGAGTGCGCGTGAATAGGGTCAATACTAATAGCTTATTTTACGCACGCTGTATATGCCGCATGGATATGGAATACGACAAGGTGCGACGTCTACTGCTTTTTGATAAATCACCTTGACTAGAAAACCATTTAAACATTTAAGTCGTTCGAGTTAAAATTCAATCTAGGTATGAAAACCCACTTTGTGATATGACCCCTTTTTGACCATCAGATATCCACTTGGCTCCCATTTGTCTGGGTCGTAAAACTCACGAATTTCAGATAATCGGCTTGTTCACCGCCTTACTATACCGGAATAGTACAAAAACCTTTCACATTGGCAGGTACTGAGTATATTCCCCCACGTTATAAAAACGTCGAATTTGGTTTCGTCATAGTACCACGGCGGCAGAGAACGAATTTCAAGTAAAGTCCAATTTGGGTCGTACTTGACTGTTGTTAACTACTGTTAAAAAGACTAAAGAAAAGAAACATGCGCACATAATCAAAACGTTCCATTTATGGGAAGTGTCGGAATGCTTTTCTAATCCTTTGTTCTGAAGTTTGACCCCGTTGACAATTCTATCGAGCGCAAATGGAGGGGGGGCTATAAGAGAATTAGTCATTCACAGTTCTAGGATTGAAATTTATGACATGGAAGGTCCAAATTCATGATGATTCGTAGAACAGTTGTTATTTATTAGTACTAGTATACCCCAGTAACCGCCGGCCAGTGTTTCCCGTGGCATTTCGGAGTGCCAGATGATAATAATCTGACAAATTATTTTTCAATGTGACTTACTAATTAAAATATGTCTCTTTTCTTT